CATAATGTCGAACCAGTCTCACGGCGCGTCCCGATATTGGCTTGTGTACCTACGCGCGAGTGCAACATCTGGCACAATTTGCGTTTGCAAAGCCTGCTCCAGCCGCGTCAAAACATTCAGCCAACCTTTGGACTGCAGAAATCAAGAGACACCCAAAATAAGATAAAGTTGCCAGCCGAATAAAACTTGATTTCTATTTAATTAAGATGAAGACCACCCGCGTACATCAAATACCTCATCAGCCGAACTCCAAGGCAGTAAGCCTAGTTCTGGCACTTGTTTGGCAACTTTGGCCCGCAGCTGCCAGATCACAGCCAAACTATCGGGAAGCGAAGCCTAACTTGGGCGCTCGTTCGGCGACTTGGGCCCAAAGGTGCCAGATCTCAACCGAACTACAAGGTAGTAAGCCTAACTCTGGCACATTTGTGGCGATTTTTTCCCGAATGTGCCAGGTGACGGCCGAACTGTCAAAAAGTGAAGCCTAACTTTGGCATTAGTTTGGCGATTTTGGCCCGAAAATGCCAAAGCTCTGCCGAACTACAAGGTAGTAAGCCTAACTCTGGCAAATCTTTGGCGATTTTGGCCCGAATGTGCCAGGTGACTGCCGAACTGTCAAAAAGTGAAGCCTAACTTTGGCATTAGTTCGGCGATTTTGGCCCAAAAATGCCAAAGCTCTGCCAAACTACAAGGTAGTAAGCCTAACTCTGGCACATCTGTGGCGATTTTGGCCCGAATGTGCCAGGTGATAGCCGAACTATCAAAAAGTGAAGCCTATGTTTGGCATTAGTTTGGCGATTTTGGCCCAAAAATGCCAAAGATCTGCCGAACTACCGGGCAGTAAGCCTAAATCTGGCATTTTTTAGGCGATTTAGGCCCGAAGATGCCAGACGACAGCCGAACTACCCGGCAGCGAAGCCTAACTTTGGCACTTGTTTGGCGAATTAGGGCCAAGATACCCAGACTGTTGCCAAGGGAGGTCAGGTTTGGCACTACTTTGGCTTCTTCGGGCTTTTTAATGCCCTAAACTGCCAGATGCAAGCCAAGTTTTGGCCCAAAACTCGGTGCTGCCTGGGTATATATATATATATATATATATATATATATATATATATATATATATATATATATATATATATATATATATATATATATACAGGCGGCTTGTCTCCCGTTTATGAGAAATTTAGCCAGTGCACTGCACACCACTAGCCTGAGGTCTTTAACGTACACCAAGCAGTAGTGATACACGACCGCACGCTGGTGCAATGCTCGTCCTGATCGCAACGGGCAGGGGTGTGAGTCGAACCCAGGATACGGCAAAAGAAAAATCGTTCTGCTTTTGTAAACTTTTGTTCCTGAAGCTTTGAAGCACTTGTTAGACTGCACTACACCCGCAAAGATACTCCGCAGGACGACCTTATCATATTCCTTGATGGAACGAACGCCACCGACTTCGGCCATGAAACTTCTCCGCAACGGCATGGGAGCGCTTTGTAGGCAGCGGCCCTGGAACGCGCCCGTCGCGGCGTGGCATCGACAAGGCTCACATTGCCGCCAATCTAGGAGCCACCGCTGAGGGCCTGGCATCTCTGACAGCCCGAGAACGGTGAGGAGGAGCTCCAGCTGTTCCGCCTTCAGTGTGGGCTGCCCGCATGCCTTCGATAAGTCTACGGCGTCTGGTGAGCCTGGAGCGTGCACGCGCAGCCAAAGCACTGCGGAAGGCAACGAGCACGTGCAGGAGGCCGCGGACGTTTGAAATTACGGGCTTTGCAGTTCTCGTTCGGTCGGTGACTGTTGGAAGTGTTACCGGAATTTCAGATCCACTTTGAATTAGCGCCCAGATCCCTTCGACGCATCATCGCAGTGCGACCGTTGCTCGTTAATGTAAGCCCTCTTTGGCCTCTTATACACATACTCCACTACTCAACCTCGTTTTTTAGCCAGTCTTGAAAAATTATATTTCGTTCGATTTATTGTTTAGTAATTATTTTCAATATTGCCATTGCTGCCATAATTCAGCGATTGAATAAAAACGGGAGATATATTCGACAAACAACCCCCCCCCCCCCCCCAAAACAAAAAGAAAAAATATTAAAAATATTAATGCAAGCAGTTGCAGTCAATATAAATCGGTACTTCTATTTATTTATTTCCTCACCCTCAGGGCCCATGGAGCGTTACAGAGGGGGTGGGTACAATGGGTTTACAAAGTACGATGATCAATTCACATGACGAAAAACAGACAGCAACAAAACAAAAGAAAAAGTATAATCAACAAAATTGCAGCGCTATAAAAAGTAATCAGTTATGGCTGCCTTGAAAGCGGTAACATCTTCAATTGCGGCTATGTGTGGGGGAAGGTGGTTCTACTTTGAGCAATCTTTAGGCAAGAAAGAATAAAAAAAGATGTTAGTGTTGCACTTTGTATTGGTAATCAACCCAGGAGGAAAGGTATGAAGGCTGTAAAAGGAGTTCCTGTTTGAGCACTGGGTTATAAAAAATAATTTTTTATGAAAAAGAGAAAGACGCGCAATTCGTCTTCGAAACATGTGTTCAGGAATACCAGCATTAGACATCACCAGCGACACGCTAGGAAGGCGGTAATAATTAGAGTTAATAAAACGGGCTTCAATGGCATCATTAAGATAACGTTGTGCCGGATCCCATATCGCAGAAGCAAATTCGAGTTTTGGGCGGATGAGTGTACGGTGAAGAAGAAGCATAAGAGAAAAAGGGGCTTGAGCAAAAGTTCTACGTAAGTAGCCGAGGATACGATTAGAATTATTAATAACGTAGTTAACGTGGGTTTGCCATGAGAAGTCATTAGTTATGTGAACTCCAAGGTATTTGTACAAAAGGACGTGCTCAAGAGAAATATTGTTAATCTTGTAATCAACGTAATAGAGAGGGGTTAGGGTGACGTGAGAATGTTACGCTTTTGCATTTGTTTATGTTAAGGATCATCAGCCATTTATAACACCAGGTAGAGATTTAGTCGATGTCAGATTTAAAAATAGTTTGATCGGATAGGTCATTTATTTGGCGGTAAAGAACGTAGTGGTCAGCGAATAACTTTATAGGGGACCGAATACCACCAGGAAGATCATTTTTTCGGGAAGAGCAAAGAGTCTAAAACGAAACCTTGAGGAACACCGGATTTTACCAAAGAAGAAGTGGAGTACAATCATTCGCTACTACAAATTGTGTGCGGTTAGTAAATAAAAAAACACTCCATCCATTTTAAGATATTGGTGTCAATATTTAAGGTTGCAATTTTGAGAAGGAGCAAGTGATATGGAACTTCGTCAAATGCTTTTGCAAAAGTCAAGAAAGATGCAGTCGAGAAACTGACCACGATCAAGGCGCGGCTTTATGTCATTTATAAAAAGAAGCAGTTGCGTTTCAAGGATTAGTGTCTACGAAAAGCGTGCTGGGAGGGGCAAAAGATTGAATTTGACTCTAGAAATGATACGAGATTTGAATAGATTACATGTTCCAAAAGTTTACATGGAATACTCGTTATCGAAATTGGTCAGTAATTAAGAGCGGACTGCTGATTACCGAACTTGTAAAGAGGGACCACTTTCGCCACCTTCCAGTTGCGTGGTATAGTCGAACACTCAATAGATTGCGTGAAGATATAAGATAAAAATGTAAACGAGTATACTTATGTGTTTTTTTTATTTTTTTAACTTTGAGTTAATTTCGCCTACACCACAAGAAGATGAAGTTTCAACTACCGAAGAAGGCTTGCAATTCCCACAAAATCAAAGACAATGAAATTCAGTGGAAAAAAATCACGATTACATTGATGCGCTACGGTACTAGAAGATGAAACTGAAAATGACCCAGCAAAAACATTGTTTAACACGTTACAACATTCCTCGCTGCGCATAACCTGGCCATAAGCAACAAACTATATAGTGCCCTTCTTCAGAACTTTTTGCGATCTCCCAAAACTGAAAGTTGTTACGAGATAAGATTGATGGGAGCTTATTGAGAAGGAAGACGCGCTTGGCCTCTCTGATAAAGATACGATGAGCTGATAGCGTATCCCGGTAGGCGGACCATCGAGCGGCATTCTTCGCGTTTTCGCTGGACAGAACAACCCTTTTTCTTGTTTTGTACAGGGTGATTCAAGGAAAGGCCAGCCTCTTTAAATCGACCGCAAAATTCGGTTTCTTAACCTATCGCGCTACAACTTTGTCCAGCGTTGCCCACAGATAGTGCATTTTTGTTTGTAAAATTTGCAAAGAGCGAACTTACCTGAGGAAAAAGTAAAGAAAGAAAAAGGCCTAGCTCTTATGGAAACGCAGCGAAGCCACCGGTCTTCAAACAACACGGCGCCGTTTCGCACGGGAGACAAAAGATGGCGCAAGCGGTTGCGACGCCAACTGCCGCCAACGAACGAGCATACGACGCCGAGAGCCGGCGTTTTTAGCAGACAAGGAACTGCAGTTGTTACCGCGCCTGTTTTTGTTTCTGCGACTGTCGCCGCGTGCGGAACGCGCACCGCTTTTGTGTCAAAAAGATCGTCTGCTAAAGACGCCGGCTCTCGGCGCCGTATGCTCGTTCGTTGGCGGCATTCGTTGCGCCATCTCTTGTCTCCCGCACGAAACGGCACCGTGTTGTTTGAAGACCGGTGGCGTCGCTGCGTTTCCATAGGAGCTAAGCCTTTTTCTTTCTTTACTCTTTCCTCAGGTAAGTTCGCTCTTTGCAAATTTTACAAAAAAAGATGCACCATCTGTGGGCAACGCTGCACAAAGTCGTAGCGCGATAGGTTAAGCAACCGAATTTTGCGGTCGATTTAAAGGGCCTGGCCTCTCCTTGAATCATCCTGTTGTCTTCTACTTTGCTTCTTAAAAGATATTGTAAGTCAACCGTCAGCCATTCGAAAATCGTGCATCACTATCATTAGTAAATGGAGACGAAGGGTAAGAGTTTTCTAGGACGCTTAACTAAGCACTGTTTATTCCGAAACTTAAATTTTATCTGCGTACCTGATATCATCCAGCCGTCAGTGGTAAACACAACCGAAGTGGGGTTCGGGTTGTTGCGGTAGTTTGCCAGGAGCACCGGCGATCTGATGTGCAATTGCCCTTTTTCTCCTGGTCCGAGGACTCTTCCTGTCTCCGTGTCAACGACCTAGCATCGGGCCGAAAGAAAAAAATCAGGGTTACGTTTTTTTTTTATAAAAAAGTACATACACTTTTTCTTGCAAATGCAGCAAACCCTTCGCTGCCATGAAATGCAGTTTCAGGGTCACAGCGTAGATGACGCCAGCGTGGCTGTTCGTTCTCTCGTCGCAAGAGCTTGAAATAAACTTGGTATCAAGAAAATGCGCGATTGTGAACGGGCCTTTAAACTCCGTCCATATCTTACACGTGAGAAGCTAAAAAAAAAAAAGTATGCAAACGTGTCTTAATCGTATACCGATAAAGTTGGGAAGTCGCCGATCCTGCAGCGCATCTTCAAGAACGCTCTGGGAGATTGTTTAAATAAGCCGATGTCACAACCACTCCCACGTCACATGAGAGACAGTGTTTTTTTGCAGACATGATGACTGAATTGTTTGAGGACAGCTTCAAGCACCTTCAAAACATGTGTGCTTCATACACATGTATGCTTTAAACATGTTGGCAGACAGCTTCTGCAGACATGGCAGGCTGCCTGGTGAGAGTTTGTGCGAGAAGATTGGCTTGAAAGAAGATGAGTCATGTTTGTTTTTTTAGACCTAGGCTAGGTGACGCAAGCTGCCGCCAGTTACAAAGGGTACAGATATTAACATCCATCCATCCATGCATGACCAATATGAGAGGGCCGGCCAACGAGGTAGAGGGGCTTAGAGTGATAAACCGGAAGTTCGAAAGTGGCACCCCCCCGGTTGCCGCCATATTTTACGCAAATGTGACCACTCGTCACGTGACCTCCCAAGAGCCGTGACGTCACAGGTAAGATGGCAGCGCCCAGAGCTGGCGGATGCGAGTTTGTTCGGTGCGCGGTAGTCGTGATGTGCAGCTGCTTTCCGACGACTTCGGGCTTCTTCGTGCTCGCTGACGCAGGTATAATGTGAAAATATGAAGGAATGAGACTTTATACCGTTTTTGCGCAAGATCGCTCTGGATCATCCGGATATTAACGCCTGTGTGACAGCATCAGCTCTGCATTGCCGTACCGGTGCTTGGATTCCAGGATGTGTCCGAGGATCGATAGAACTTTGAGTGCTTTTAACATGAAATTTTTGCATTCTCTTAGCTTTGTTTGAACGTTGAAATACCTGAGAATCTACGCGAAATGTATACATCGCGTTAGGGCCTTAGGGAAGTTGTTTCAGCCCTCCGTCACCTAACAACCATAGCAACTTTTAGCGAGAAAGCTCCTGCGAGTTTAACCTTTTGTGCTAATCCACGATTCTACATTCGATCGCTTTTCTTCCTTTTTTTTGTGTGTGTGTGTGTGTGAGTGCGAAGTGCACGCTTATTTTCAGCTACGTGGTTGGCGTTTTATTGAGTATGGGGAAGAATAAATCGTTGCAGGCACCTGCTTCAAAGCTATTCGACTTGCTATAAGAACAACTGTTTTGGTGCATGCATAGGTTAACTGCGCATTTTTTCTGTTTTGTAGGATTTATTGCAGCTATACTATTTTCCATCAAGAGTGCCTTGTATTAGTCGGTCAATTATTTAATTGTTCTAATTACCTGGATAAGATTATTCATATTTGTGTTCATCCCTTGCCTGGAGAGCAATCTTGTTGAAAAATGTTGACTACCATTCCTTTCGGTCTCTTCAATAGACTCTTTTTAAAATTGTGGGCTGTCTATAATTCACATCACCGTAACTTGGAAAAGGCCAACCGCCACAGCCCCCTCAAGCCAATCAGAGAGACGGAGCGAAGGTGTGTGACAAACCTGTGCAGACGAGCACTCTGGTGATATGCTGTCATGTGCCTCTCTGCAATGTGTGTATTGACTCACCGAGACCGTAGCCTTTGCCGTCTGCCAAATTCTGATGAAACAAATTACAGTAGCTACTACTGTAATTACCCCAGGCTTTCATACTTTGGGAATTTGTTCTACAAGAATGTTATGTCCGCCATCTCTGTGAATTTGGCTCAGCACCTATTGGACTCGAATGCTGCATTGGCGTTCGACGTGAACTGGGGCCCATTCGTGTGCTTAGCGCCGAAAAAAATGGTGACGGTTGTGTTGCTTGATAAGGTTCTGCAAAGGGTCTATTGTGTCATACATATAGGAAGTGTCATGCTATCAAACAATGCATCAACACATACTATTAAACTATATGCTCAGAGGTGTGTTTGTTTTTCCAATTAACAAGTTACAGCAGTGTGCTTTAATGCTATTATCATGTGTGTAGCTTTAAGCATCCTCTCTGCAATGCCTACGAAGGCCCCTGGAAGGAATAAATTAATAAATAACATTTTCACATCACTGGAGTTGGTTTTCGGATGCACCACATGTTCAGGAAAGGTTGAACGAGTGTAGCCCCTTGCAAGAAGTCTGCCAGTCTGGTATGACCCCTTAATTAATATTGAAGGGTCAGAGAAGCGAGTGTCCTCGTAAGGTCCAGAGCGTGTAATGGACACAATTCTCGGTGTGTAGACTCTCAAGGCATGAACGCAAGCGGAAATATGTTTATCCGGTTAGTGTATCAAATATGTTTATTTCCACTTGATTACGTAATTATTGATTCTTAGTAAATAGTTCCATAACGAGTTCTTTCTGCGACAGTCTCGTGTCAGGCGTTCAGTCGTAGTACCTGTGGACCTTGTTGTCGGATGACGCTCCTGGCACGTCGGTGTTCAGTTTGGTCGAGTGGCAACTTTGACCGACTGATGCTGTCTTGTAATCATACGTCATGTGCACTGAAGCTGCAGGGCTTGCTTCTAATCCGAAAATTTTCCTGGTAGTTTTCGGCATCAATGTAGCAAGCTCGGGCATGTATTGCTTACGTGACTGTGCCTTTTGCTGCACCGTTGACTTGAAAGCTGGCAACAATTTTTGTTTGCTATCCAAGTCTGGTGATGCTTGCAGTTCACTTTTGAGAGCAACCAACCATTCTATTCCTTCAAGTCACTCAGGGGCATTCTCCCTCAAAGTTGGAAATTGTGTGCTTTGTGGAGTGGACACAGAAAATTGGTGTCAGCAAATTTTTAGGTATTGTCCTTGGACGACAACCGACACCAAATCCACTGTCACTGCATCGCCGCTCACCTGCTTTGTCGTGCTTACCTTTTGTTGAGGTGATGGACATGAGGAGCTTTGGGGTAATCGGGGATTCAGAATCTTCGATTCAGCACCTTCGGCATCAGGGACAAAGGTCGCCGAAGGTAATCCTTAATCTCCCGTGGTCGCTCCTCGAGACGTAATCGAAGGTCGTTTGGCACGAACCCTCGCCGACCAATTCATTGGTACGGGCTGCTTTGGTAGATATGGTCGGCTTCATGCAGTGGTAGCAAAGTGGTTTTCGGTCGCACATTCGCATCACCTACGTTTTCCTCGGTGTACTTTGTTGAGCACAGTCCTACACACAATGTCGGGAATGCTTCGGCGTTAGAGTGTCTCATTGAATTGGCATTGAATACTAAGGGGCAGCCGGTGGCGGTCGTCGTGCCATTGTGGCGTAAGTTGCCCTTGGTTTGTCACATGCCGCTTTGCTCGCAGAAGTCTCGGTTGAAATACCTGTCAAACTTGTTCCGAACCAATCTCGGCAATCAAAATAAAAGCCGGGCAACTGATGGCAGGAAGTAGCTTCCTGATCTCCTCCCAGACAACGTCGTGGGTGATGTCGTGGATGCCTGGGAGGCTGGCGTCGAAGTAGTAGCTGGACAACTCGAGTGTCGAGACGCCGGGAAGTTGTTCATAGTGGCAGGCTCGGGCATGCAGTGCACATTCCATGTTGGAAGCCTCAGTGATATGAACACTTCGACTGTTGTTGGGGGGTTGCGGACAAGGCTGCCGAAGGTGTTGTCCCTCACGTGAGGCGCATGGGATTCTTGGGTTCTTGTCTTCTGTAGCATCAAGGTCGGCGTGGGCGTGGGCGCTCGATCAAGCGCAAAACATCCTCCACGAGTTCGGTGGCGCTCTCATTGGGGCAGTGTCCTGGGCAGAATCAAGAATGCGGCTCTCTTTCGTTGATGTTGGTTGACGGATGCGCGCTTCAGCTTGATCTTGCAAACTTCCCATGACGTTAAGGAGGATCCATGGTTCTCAGACCAGCGCCGGCAGTTGCTTCCATGAGAAGTATAGGTTCTGCAGGAGCTGGTTGTCTGTCCACCCAGTGTGGCGGGCGACACTGTCATATTGTTCAATCCAGTCCTTGACGTCTTCATACAGCTTGCGTGAAAAAGTGTCAAAGTGTGATTTGCGACGGGCATGCAAACAATGGTGGGAGGGGACACGGTTTGCTGCTACAGGTTTGTCATTGTTGGCTTAGTCAGGTTCGGATTTTCTGACAGGAGACTGAATTCCGGTGGTTTTTTCTGGTAGCAGCAACTGGCTCGGATTTCAGTTGCTTCGTGGTGTATTTCCGAGGTTACTCCTTGTGGTACTCGTTCGTCTTGCGGTTGTTCTGCCAGGCTCGGGTCAGGACTTTGCCTACGGCTCGACAGGGGTATAAGACGCAGAATAGTCCGCCAGCCGTGTCCCATTATCGGGTAACTCGGCTGAAGAGCCGCCGGGTTCACACAGAGTGAAGGGCTACGGGTAAAGTGCCCAGCACCTCCACCTGAACATACGATTACAGCTGAGCATGACCTTCAGTGTCCCAATATAGTGAATATTGATAGAAGATAGGACTGGAACAAGGATCCGTGACAGTATAACAAAACTAGAGAATCTATCCTGACCACTGAAGAAGCTGCATTGCTTTAGCGGCATTCTGTCCGAATAAATCCTCTCCTTCGGGGTTTGGCGACTGCCGTGGACGAACTGAACTGAAACGGATGTGGGACCACTTTTCTGGTAATGAGCCACTGCGACTGTTGCTACAAAGCGGCGTGAGCTGGGTACGCAAAACGCTCGGTGAAATGTCCGGACAGCTTGCAATTCGCGTAACGAGTGTGGATGAAACGTTTGTGTTGACGAAACGTGCGACTGACCAGCGGGATCAATACCAACTGCAACA